AGCTCCACATTTCAATTGTGCCCAGCCCCTTCAGTTTCCTTCTCCATCCTATGCATCCTAAATCTTGCCTAATTGCCTCATAATTGCCTTTCCCCCAGCTATAACTCTTGCCCTGCGGTATATACCGATCCCTTTCCATCGCTAAAGTAAACGTAACCGAATTGTGGTCACTATCACCAAAGTGCTCACCTACCTCCAAATCTAACACCTGGCCTGGTTCATTACCCAGTACCAAATCCAATGTGGCCTGGCCTCTTGTTGGCCTATCTACATACTGTGTCAGGAAACCCTCCTGCACACATTGGACAAAAACTGACCCATCTGAAGGACTCGAACTATAGCGTTTCCAGTCAATATTTGGAAAGTTAAAGTCCCCCATAACAACTACCCTGTTACTTTCGCTCCTATCCCAAATCATCTTTGTAATCCTTTCCTCTCCATCTCTGGAACTTTTTGGAGGCCTATAGAAAACTCCCAACAGGGTGACCTCTCCTTTCCTCGTTCTAACCTCAGCCCATACTACCTCAGTAGACGAGTTGTCATCAAATGTCCTTTCTGCCACCGTAATACTGTCCTTGACTAACAATGCCACACCTTCCCCTCTTTTACCACCTTTCCTGATCTTACTGAAACATCTAAACCCCAGAACCTGCAACAACCATTCCTGTCCCTGCTCTATCCATGTCTCTGAAATGGCCACAACATCAAAGTCCCAGGTACCAACCCATGCTGCAAGTTCAAAGAAGTAGATACACTGGTCTTATATGCAAGAACAATGCATGAATAGATTTTTCTTTTGCCATTTCATGTAACATTTTCTGTGGAAGGTTTAAAAATAACTAAAGGATGGAGATGCATCTGAAAATGAGACAATACACATTCACATTTATTATGCAAAGAAGTACAATTAACTAACTCAAATAAGGATATTAGGTCATTCATGAGGAAATCTCTGCATCCATGAAGAAGTGTTCTCTCAGCCCAGTTGGTACCAATAGCTTTTAGGTTCCAATTTTGTCCATTGTTTTCGCATCACTTTTTTATGGACTTCATTGAAAGGTTCCCAAGTTTTTGTCTCTTACAGCCATAAAGTTGGCATGTTTCCAGAAGCAAATGAATGAATGAATGTGTTCTACAGAACTCTGTAACCTGCATTTCTATAATTATTGGCACAGCCTTGACTTTTGTTCGCTGAAAGGTCTTTATTCTGCGCATTTTTTGAATAGTTCATTGCTCAAGAATTTAGTGCTTATCTAACAAGCCGTTTCCACATATCCACTCCATATTTTCAGTGAAAACAAGGTAATTGCTATCACCTTATCTTAAGAAGTTACAGCACTTTGTCCTTTTGCATTTTCTAAATTTATTTTCTTCGTCCCTTGCGGATGTTTTGAAGGTACAGTGCCAAAAATAATGCTTGAAAGTGGGACCTTTTTTTCCAGAAAGGTTTTATATTCAAATCTTTCTACTGCTACCTAAGACATTTAATTTTCATTACCTTCATAATAACTACATGACTCCAAAAAGATATAAGTACTCCTTGGTTTCTTCCTCATCATCATTTCCAAACATTAATTGTTCATTGAATTGACTGTTCATTGTATTTTTGATTCTTTCTATTACCAGCATCGCAAAGCCCTTGCTGAAAATAAAATCAGAAAGCCTGTTTCATTGTTTGCCAATTAAAAGAGATTAATTTTTTAAAAATTCATTCTGAGAAGGACATTTCCCTTTCTTCTTGAATCTCTCCAATGCTCGTAACTTGGTCCTTTGACAGATTTTAAATGTTCACAAAGGTGGAATGTGCTTTACCGGGAAGATGCCACCTTACTTGTAGGCTTTAAAATAAAATGCTTTTAAGCATTTATTTTGCCTACTCTCACCTCTGATACATCACCTGATACAGTCCCTGCCTCAGCTCAACTGTTTTTGATTGATTGATTTATTGCTGTCACATGTACCAATATTAAGTGTAACGTATTGTTATGTGTGCTATACAGGCAGATCGTATCATACAAAGTGCATCAGGGTAGCAGAACAGAGTGCAGCATACAGTGTGACAGCTGAAGAGAAGGTGCAGGGAGAGAGGTCAGAGTTAACATTGGAGAGGTCCATTCAAAGTCTGATAACAGTGGGGAAGAAGCTGTTTTTGATTTTGTTTGTACATGTATTCAACTTTAATATCTTTTGCCCATCGGAAGAGGGTGGAAGAGAGCATAACTGGGCTGGGAGGGATCTTTAGTTATGTTGGTTGTTTTCCCGAAGCAGTGGGAAGCATTGATTGACTCAATGGAAGGAAGGCTGGTTTGCGTGATGGACTAGACTATGTTCACGACTCTGAAGTTTCGCACAGTCTTTGGAAGAGCAGTTGCCATACCACATTGTGATGCATCCAGATAGAATGCTTTCTCTGGTGCATCTATAAAAATTGAACTGAGTCCTTGTGGACATACCAAATTTCTTTAGCCTCTGGAGGAATTAGAGGTGTTGTTATGATTTCTTGACTGTCATGTCAACTGGGTGGACCAGGACAGATTGTTGGTGATCATCACTCCCAGGAACTTGACACTCTTGACCATCTTCGCTTCACTGATGCAGACATGGGTGTCCTCCCCACTCTGCCTCCTAAAGTCAGTGACTGGCTGCTTCGTTTTACTGGCATTGATGGAGAGATTGTTGTCTTATACCATGCTGCTAAGCACTCAGTCTCTTTCATGTATTCTGCCTCACCGTTGTTTAAGATCCGTACTAGAATGGTGGTGAAGCCCTCATCTGCATAGTTGTTATCTCTAGACACTATTCAACCTTCTGTAAACTTGAGAATCTTCAAAATTCCACTGCCCTTATTCTAACCTGCAGAAGTTCCCGTTCATCCATTTCCCCTGTGTTCTCTAACCCATGTTGTCTTCCAGTTCAGCGGTGCCTAGTATTCAGAATCTTGTGGGTTTCCTCTGGGTGCTCCGGTTTCCTCCCACAGTCCAAAGATATACACGTGAGGTGGATTGGCTGTGCTAAATTGTTCCTAGTATGCAGGCTAGATGTGTTAACTATGCTAAATGTGGGGTTATGGGTACAGGTCTGGATGCTCTTCGGAAGGTCAGTGCACTTGATGGGCTGAATGACCTCTATCTGCACTGTGTGAATTCTATGATTCCATGATCACAATTTTGGTTTCAAACTCCTTCAGGTCTCACACCTTGCTCTTTTACCCTGTCCAGCCCTACAACCCACAAAGATATTCCCATTTCTTTCATTCTGACCTCCTGAATGTCCTCAATTTTAATTGCTCCATCACTGGCAGCGTGTATTGAGGTCCTCAGCTCTGAAATTCCTTCATTCAACTGCTCTGTACCTCCACCTCTATTTCCTCTTTTAACAGTCTTCCTGAGCTCAAATGTTGTTAGTAATGCTATTGTGAAACATTTTGTGATGTTTTATTACTTTGAAGGTATTTTAAGAATGCAATTTGTTGTTCTACTCTTATTTATAATCATAATATAGTTCTGTAATTTGGAAGTGTTTGGATTGTCCTACAGTTTTCCCAACAAATTAAACTATTTCCTCCAGAAGAGGGAAACACTTGGCTTCTGAGTTGTCAAAATAATAGTAGAGCCTGCCTATAATAAGCATTTAGAAGTTGAATACTATTCTGTTGTTAGCCTAGAAATGATAGAACTAAGAATGAAGATTTCAGTGCAGTAAGCTCCACCAATACCCAAGATACTCAAGATACTCAACCACAACTGGGACAAAGCAATCTATTCATTTGGCATTGCCCTAAGCCATGGCCACTACCACCTAGAGGGATCAATATAATAGGCACATTAGTTCATCATTCCATCCAAGTTGCACTTCATCCTGCTCAACCTGGTCAATCAGTGTAATTTTCTAACACAGAAGGCTGTGGAGGTTGGCTCACTGACTATATTCAAGAAAGTGACTGATAGCCTTTTAGATTTTAGTGATATGGAGAGAAATTGGGAATGTGACTTTGAGATAGAGGACCATCATGATCATATTGAATCATGGAACAGACTCAAAGGACTGAATGATCTACTCCTGCGGTTAGTTTCTATAATTCTATTTCTTTATTTCTATGTTACAATTATATCATTGTTCCTTTAGATCAAATCCTGGTACTCCTTACTTTATGACTTGGAATGCAGCAGTTCAGAAAACAACTTGAGGGCAGTTGGGGATGGTTAATACATGCTGGCACTGCCAGAAACACTGAAATTCCAAGAATGAACACATTTGTTAAAAGAAAGTTAGGTTTTATGTAGAGTCCAGAGAAAATAAAAGAACACTTTTGAAATTTATTAAAATTGCTTCTTCCATCATATTTTAGTAGCTGAAACGCTCAATCTGGTAGATCAGAAAGAAATGGCTGATAAGGAGAAGCGAATGTGGAGTGTGAAAAAAAAGTGAATTGCATTTCCAAGTTTAGAAAGGGAAAATTGAAGGATAGGAATGTGATTGATTGCCTGAGATGGTAACCAATGAATGACTGACTTATTTTTGTTTGAATGACATGTAATGCATGAAAGCCCTTGACTTCAGTTTTTATTTTATGCTTCATGGATCTGGAACATGTCCAGAATTTATCAAACATTGTTTCTAAAAATGGATGAGTCTGTATCTACCAGTGTATAAACACGATGAGTATTTACATCACCATGATTTCGGATTTTCTCTGAAGAAAATTCAGTGCTGCAATCTTTACATTTTAATGAGTTGAGATTTGTATTGAATAAACTATAACAACTAAAATCCAGTTTTAATATTAATTTGATGTTTGGTTCAAAATATCATAAATTATTATTTTGTCATAACTGCTACAGTTCGGGGAGATTATTGAACTAGAAAGATGTGTTGTAGTGCAAGAAGATCTTGGCCTTGGCTTGTTCAACTATGACCACTGAAAGGAAATAACTTTTGGTTATTTGATAATCTGTAATCAGAAGTAAATTATAATAAATTTATGATATTTTAATGTGCAGGTATGAATATTTGAGGATCAACAAGTGGAAGGATTGGTATCTGGACTTGAGTTGCAGGACTACAGCCACCCTGGAATATGGTACTTCAGCGTTGGACAGCACTACCAATCATGGTGATCCTGAGCTATCTGGCAAAATACGTCCAAGCAGAGAGTGAGTATTGTTATTAAAAGCCCCTTCCTATTTTTTCTCTTCAAATTGCCTTGATTTATGTGAATTTGTCTGAATGTAGGGGATTGATAAATAACGACAAAAATTGGAATTAACAAGCTAGGAAGGGATAAAGAATGGCAAATGTTAACTGCAATTTGTTTGGTGGACTTTTCAGATTAAAGTGGTCAAAAATGAGTACCATTCTAAACTAACTAAGCATAAGCAAAGCAGGGAAGTTTAAATAATTCTCAACTGAGTAGGTAATTTTTTTCTTCTATAAATTTCATGTGAAACCAAGTTGATCTGTCAGTTTATAAAACCAAACACCCACAAATTCTGAAGTAATCCAAAAGGTTTCCATCGAATATATTAGAGACTTGTTTCAAAAATTACTGTGTTCTTCAACAAAAAGCGATGTTCAAAATTTGCTATGAAAGTTTTTAAAAATCCATTTACCTTAGAATGCAGTTAACCTTTCGCCAATGTATCTTTGAGGTTTGTGAAGTTAATTACTAAATGAAAGTGGAAAAGATTTTTCAGATGTTCGCTTGGGATTGGAACTACGAACAGCAAGAAAAATGCTAAACAAGGTGAATTCTTTAATTAGTGACTGAATTATAGCATTTATTAATGACAGTCCCTTTTCAATGATTGGTCTAATTGTGTAATTTTACAAAAAACAATTGGCCAAGCCAAAGTAATACATAAATGTAAAGTACAAATTTCATATATACCTTTCTTAATACTGGTCAGATGGGGACATCTCGAGGCTTTTAATAGATTGCTATTTTATCTCGATTGATCTATTAATCCTCAGTCAAAAGGCATTCATATGATCTAAAGTAGGAATTGCTTTATTTTGTTACTTTGCACATTTTATTGAAATTTAGTTTTATTTTTTATTTTTGGAATATGTTCACATGGTGGTGGTAAGTCAAAAAGAAGATAAGGTATTTGTATACTGGCACTGAATTGTAGTGCTTTTACGTTATTTTTCTATTTCCTTTACAGTTACAACAAACAGTGAATACATTTTCATGAATCCAATTCTTGAGTTGTACCACATTTGGTGTTAGATTAGCTTTCAGTTAATTTCTCAAGAGTGCAAAGTAATCTGTTAATTTATTTATGAAGGAGTTGTGGTGATTGTAACGAGATCAGCCAGGTGGACATGATGGAATATGAGTTCCCTGGTTGGCACTGTTAATCTGGCCCAATCAGAGACCCCTGACTGCCAGATATAAACAGGAGTGTCAAAAGTTCTGAGATAATAAGGTGTAGGGCTGGATGAACACAGCAGGCCAAGCAGCATCAGAGGAGCAGGAAAGCTGACGTTTCGGGTCTAAACCCTTCTTCAGAAATGGGGGAGGGGCAGGGGATTCTGAAATAAATAGGGAGAGAGGGGGAGGCGGATAGAAGATGGATAAAGGAGAAGATAGGTGAACAGACAGGTCAAAGAGGTGGAGATGGAGCCAGTAAAGGTGAGTGTAGGTGGGGAGTTAGGGAGGGGATAGGTCAATCCAGGGAGGACGGACAGGTCAAGGGGCGGGATGAGGTTAGTAGGTAGGAGATGGGGGTGGGGCTTGAGGTGGGAGGAGGGGATAGGTGGGAGGAAGGACAGGTTAGGGAGGCAGGGACAAGCTGGTTCCACCCCCGCCTCTTTGACCTGTCTGTCTCCTCTCCACTTATCTTCTCCTTTATCCATCTTCTGTCCGCCTCCCCCTCTCTCCCTATTTATTTCAGAATCCCCTTCCCCTCCCCCATTTCTGAAGAAGGGTCTAGAACCGAAACGTCAGCTTTCCTGCTCCTCTGATGCTGCTTGGCCTGCTGTGTTCATCCAGCTCTACACCTTGTTATCTCAGATTCTCCAGCACCTGCCAGTCCTACTATCTCTGTCAGAAGTTCTGTTCACTCCAAGGGCTGGCTCTGAAAGAGCTGCATCAGCGTCAAGGACTCTCCACGTGTAAATAACGTGTGACTTGGTGGCAGGATACCAGTCTCTGTGGAGATATTTCACAGAACATTTCATTTAAAAATTTGTCATCATCTTTTGAAATCACATACAAACACCTCCTGAGGTCCCAGCATCACAGTTCAACCAATTTGACTTCTGTGGAGTTATTTCAGGAGCCATCTGTAGTTTTGAATGTTTGTAGCTTCCTACTGGAGTAATCACACTTTTCATGTCAGAAGGGGTAGTCTGAGCAACTGAACCAGAAAAAAAGAGGCCAGCACCTCCTACTTCTTATCCTTCTGCTCATAATATGACTATTAAAACCAAATTAGAGGACTCAATGTGGGCTTTCTTCTATATAAATGTAAGTTCTTTGGTCTCATGAAAGAGCGGCCTGGACAGAATAGATAGGTCGAAGATTATGCTTGTAAAAGAAACTAGAACATTTACATAGGGCATAGATTTAAAGTGATGTGCAAATGAAGCGATGGTGTGAAAAACTTTCTCACACAGTGAGTTGTTAGGGGACCGCACTGCTTGGAAATGTACCAACGGCAGGTTCTATTGAGGCATTCAAGAGGGCATTGGATTTTTTTTTGCATAGTAATGATGAGCAGAGATATGGGGAAAAGGCAGGAGATTGACACTGGAAAATAGAGCTGGCCGAGAAAAAAAGCCGGTGCAGGCATGATGGGCTCAATGACCTCCCAGTGCACCGTAATAATTCTGTGATTCAGAGAAAAGCATGCAATGAATGAAAGCCATAATAAGAATTGGGATTTGTGATGCTGGAAATTGAGGAAACAGTTTTTGATTAAAGTAAACCCTGGTAGTACTCGTGTTTCTTGTTGCTGCAGACTTTACCTTTGACTTATCCGGGTTGATCATGTAAGAAAAATGAAATTAACATTACCTTAGCTATAACTTTCATTTCTAGATATTGTTTATGTTTCACTTCAAGGGTTTTAAGTAGTGGGTTTGGTGGTCATGTGCAGTGTTTAGTCTTATGGGTAATAAAATGGATTGCAATCCTATAAAATGAACAACCTGGTGCTTACTGTGTGAAAATCTGGTTGGATATTTCCATTTCCAATATTAGGAACTTTACCACCAGGTTGATGTATTCTTAATTATGTTTGGATTATTTTATCGACTGTCAGTAGAAACACTTGAGTTTTAATACATCAATCCTAATCACAAATTATAGGAAAAATATTCTGAACATACTGCACCTATTGGGTTCTGTATGTACATGCTCACAGTTATAGATGTTTTCTAATCAACCTGTGCAAAGGTGTTATTACACAACTCTGAGACAGATGGAACCTGAATCCACCCTCCTGGCTTAGAAATAGGAATGCTACCACAGCACCAGAAGAGCACCAAAATGATTCTGAGCTCTCTTACATGTTCATGAAGTACAGAAAGTAACACTCCCAACTTCTAAACAATCATGTTGCCATCAGACGAGATCATTTTTTTTTCTGAAAAAAGACTATCATGCAGAGTTTGTTTTGAACCCAATTTCAAATTTATACTGCAATTTTAGCATTTGTTAAAGTTTTGCATAATTTAAAGGGATTGTCCAAAGCAATTAGTATTTGAAATTAAAAACCGAAAGAACTGCAGATGCTGTAAATCAGGAACAAAAACGCAAGTTGCTGGAAAAGCTCAGCAGGTCTGGCAGCATCTGTGGAGAAAAAATCAGAGTTGTTGCTTTCGGTCCGGCGACCCTTCCTCGGAACTGACAGTAACTGGGAAAATGTCAGTTTAAATGCAGAAAATAGGGAGGGGAATGGAGTAGGGAGTAAACGGTAGGATACTGCCCGAAGAGAGAGAAGAGCAGTTGGATAGACAAAGGAGTTGATTACGATCTGGCTCGGAGGGTGAATAGTTGTGAATGGGGACTGTTAGTGACTAACAATAGATGGTGTATAATGGCAGGCTATGTGATAACAAGGCCTGGAGTGTGGGGTAGGGGGCTAGGACATGGGAGAGTTTAGGCCCTAAAATTATTGAACTCAAAACTGAATCTGGAGACCTGCAGGGTCCACAAGTGGAAAATAAGGTGTTGTTCTTCCAGCTTACGTTGAGCCTTGCTGGAACACTGCAGCAAGCCAGAGAGAGAGATGTTGGCCAGGGAACAGGGTGGTGTGTTAACGTGGCAGGCAACAGGTAGTTCAGGGTCTTTATTGCGAGCAGAACGTAGATGTTCTGCAGAGCGGTCACCCAGTCTGCGCTTTGTTTCCTCAATGTAGAGGAGACCACATTGTGAGCAGTGGATGCAGTAGACTAGATTCTGGGAAGTGCAGGTGAAGTGTTATGTTTGGACCCTTGGATAGTGGGGAGGAAGGAGGTAAATGGGCAGGTGTTGCACCTTCCCTGGTTGCAGGGGAAGGTGCCGTGGAGCAGTGTTGGGGGTGAAGGAAGAGTAGACCAGGATGTCCCGGAGGGAACAGTGTATGCAGAAGGCGGACAAGGGAGGGGAGGGGAATATGTGTACAGTGGTGGCATCTCGCTGGAGGTGGTGGAAATGACGTTTGATGATCTTCTGGATGTGGATGCTGGTGGGATGGTAGGTAAGGACAAGGGGAACCCAGTCGTTGTTGTGGGAGGGAAGAGAGGAGTGAGGGCGGAAGTGCAGGAGATGGGTCGGACCCGGTTGAGGTCCCTATTGACAACGGTGCTGGGGAATCTTCGGTTCAGGAAGAAGGTGGACTTTGCGGAGGCTCCCTTGTCGAAGGTGGCTTCCTGTGAACATATGCGACGGAGACGGAGGAGCTGAGAGAATGGGATGGAAGCAGGGTGTGAGGATTTTTAGTCCAGGTAGCTGTGGGAGACATTTTCCCAGCTACCATCGGTTCTGAGGAAGGGTCACCGGACCCGAAACGTTAACTCTGATATTTTTCTCCACAGATACTGCAGACCTGCTTAACTTTTCCAGCAACCTCAGTATTTGAAATTAAACTTCTTCCACATTATTATGAAGAGTTTGATTTCTTTTGAAAGTATTGATTATTAGCCATGCTGTTTAAAGTTAAAAAAG